CGTTAAAATTAACAAGCCACTATTTGCTCCAGTTAACAACAGACTGTAAGTCATTAAATTGAATATTAAATTTCAGCGGGAGTTTGTTTTAGAAAGAAGCGGTTCTTGAGAAGTAGCTTTTTGAGTAAAACGTCCTTTTTATCAGTGAAATACATGAGGAACGAGGGTGACTCGACCCTGTGGACGCAGCATGGCAAGTCTTAGCTGTAAAGGTCTGAACTGGTAGACCGAGGAATACCTGTTCGCTAACACTTTCTACTTTTATTCCCATATGTAGATGACACAATTCTAAGACTAGAAATGGGACTGAGTGCGTGACTTCGCTAAATAATATCTCTAATGAAGATTTCTCAACAATTAAATAACACTTTCTCCATGTGTGGTTTACTCCACTTTGCTCTGCCAAAAGCGCCCGTTAGAGGGCGCTATTTAAGTCTATAAAAGGCAAGCTTATTCTCTTACTTTCTCTCTTTTTTCCCCTTGCTTCTAGATGCAGTTGGACGTAGATAAAGAACGCTGCCAATATGTCGCGTTCGCTTTATTAGGCCCCTGTTGACTGAACTCTTGCACACATGCACCTACACATACACGTATCATACATGCTTGTTTTACACACACGCAACAAATAGATTCTTAGAACTAGTTTCAATGTGTTTCAATGTGTTTTTTCCTTTCATTTCAATTGTGTATACATGTAATTACTTTTGCATATAATTGCTGTTTGTTTTAAATTCATTGTTTTGCTTTTTTTGTGTGTTTTTTATTTTTACCCGGACTCACATGAGTTCGCCAATATTGTTTGCGGGACAAATCTCCCAGGTGCCCATAAAGATCTAATATAAAAAGTCAACACACTCATATACTAAATGTTGATTCCCACAACAAAATGGCGACTTTATTTTACCTGAACATCATAGAATGCCGCAACATATGTCGCTGTTCGTTCCCGCCCATTAAGCCCCTTACATTTCAAAGATTTCTTCACAAAATATAAAACAACAATTGAACCCTAACCACCTTTCCTTCTGTGGTACGGCATTAGACCTTCTAGCCTTGGCAATAACATTTCTTCACTTTCAAAGATACAAATTAGTAAACATCAGTTCAGCGAATTTTGTGATGTCAACAAACACTCATTGCCACTTTTGTAATGCCAATGAATACTCGTTGTCACTTTGTAATCGATGATTCACCTATAGTATTTCGTTGAACACTACTGGTGTCAGACGCCTTCGAATAATCACGAATTAATAGTACTTGCTCCATAATACTCGGTAGAAATAATATAGTGAATAGAGTTGAGAAGAGCGCTCCGTATAATAATAGAGGATAGAGCAGAAATGGTGATCCGAATAGTAATAGAGGATAGAATAGGAATGCAGGTCACGCTACCTTCCATATATGCGTTTCCTCTATTGTCACGTGGCCTGCTTAATTCAATAATGGGATCGCCTGTGTTTCCTCACCGGCGATCTATGTTCAAACTCAAGTGTCGGCAGCGACACTTTATTCTTATATAACAACGAAAAAAGTACATTACACCAATTTACAAGCTTTACTATTTCGCTTTCTTACTTAATTTATCTTATTTCTAATAAATATAGGACAATAATTCTACTATTGTGAGATTGATTTTCCCGGTAGCCCATTAATACGTGAAATTAGGATCCAGACAAGAAAACTCACTGATACCATAACAACTGTCCCCAATAAGCGGTTGCCCCCAATAAGCGGTTTTCTCATTTAAACGGATTTGTACAATTTGTTTATTTACGGCCTATCACCCTTTTTCCGTTTATTTAAATCCAGAAAATATTTTTAGACTGTATAAATTTTTTGGAGGTAAATAATTATTTGCTGATACAAGTTCTACTAATTAACCCATAGCTGTGGGGAGAATAGGTGGATTCATACTTTACCCTAGAGTCTTTGCGCGTAAGAGAATACAATGAACCCGACTAAAATTGGGACAAAAATAAAATTAACAATATAAATTATGCACAGATGATAGATTATTGATAACAGACACAGAAATGAAACTACAAAATCTCCGACATGAGGTAATGAAGGAAAGGGAGAAGAAAGGACTAAGCATAAATTGTAAGAGGACGAAATGCATAGTTGCTAGAAAAAGGGGCAGCGAAACAGGCAAATTGCAAACTGGGGAGGATAAAATCAAGCAAGTACAAATATTTAAATAATATTTAAATTAAGATACTGAAAATCGAAAGCGCATTTGGATAACAAAAGTTGCCTTCTAAAAGCTAAGCAAAGTATTAAGAAACAAATTCGTTAGAAACAAAGAAAAGAGTGCTGACTTGTTATATAATATCGCTCTTCCTATATGGCAGTGAATGCTAGACAATCTCCTCACAATGAAGAAGAAAATTCAACCAACAAAAATCCAACCGACAAAGATGAGGAAAATAGTCTGAATAATGTAAATAATGTACATAATACCTCATCTCAGAAATACAGACGGAAATCTCATCTCGCAACATAGATTTGAATAATAATCTTTTTATTATACGTGCCGTGTCGCATGTTCAGTCCATGATATTCTCAGCATCCTTCTGTTGAACCGCATCTCTGTTCCCTCAGGTCTTTTTTTTTTAATTGTGTCACCACAAGCAAGGCGGCGATACTACTAATGCGCAGGGGTTACAGGAAGTGAAATTGAAAGAGAAGACTGAGAATAGTGAAGATTTCGGAAAGGACAAATGATGAATGGGATTCAAGGAGACAGAGGATGGCGATTGATGTTGCATTTAAACTTTTGAAGATTCTAGCAGGAAAGCAAGTAAACGGGAGGGAGTTCCACAGGTGGGAAGTCCGAGAAAGAAAACTGTTGGAGTAGAAATAGCAATTGAATTTAGCGATTTCAACAGTAAAATGGTGGAACCTAGATGCCAATCTAGTATCACACTTAAATTCATTTATTCGGGACACAAGGCAAAAAAACAAACTCGTGAGAACACTTGTCATGGAAATATTTGTAGAAAAGACAGAGGGAAGTCACGTCATGTCTGTGAGGAAGTGACTGATGTCAAGTTGCCTGGTCTGGGACAATTGCATTACAGATCCTTCTTTGGATTTTGTCAAGTATCTCAAGATCTACAACAGAAGTACCAGACCAGATATGGAAACAGTATTCAATTCATGAGCGAATGGTAGATTTTTAAATGTGCAAGGTGAATACTGTCGAGAACAACTTTCTTGCACGACACAATGCACCAACTTTCCTTGCAGTAGATGCAGCTATTGATTGGTTGTAGCCGCTCCACTTCATCTCAATGAAGCCAGGAAGGCGCAATGTGTTGTTATCCTGAAATTTAGCGTCTGCCATGGCAATAGCAGGCAGAAAAGGATCTTTACGGTGGTTAAATGAAAGTAGCTTCATATTGGAGGCTTTAAGATTTACAAGCTATTTCCTGCCCCCCAGTTAACCATTGAGTTTCCTCTTCATCTGTGAAGAAATTGTCCAACATTCACTGAAGGAGGTCTAATATTAGATAATAGTTGAATATTGTTTTCTTTGTTTCTAATGAAATTTTCTGTTTTTTTTTTATACTTTGTTTAGCTTTGGGAAATCATTTTTTATTATTTGGGTTTCAGTGTCATCTGTTAAAACACGTCTGAAGTATTTAAATTCCTGCACTTTCTTCATTTGGATATCTCTTATTTGTAGCCTGACAACTATAGATGGATTTAAATGTCTACCATCCATCCTGGATTCTGATGTGTGTGTGTGTGTGTGTGTGTGTGTGTGTGTGTGTGTCTTTCTAACATGGAAATTAATAGAATCTTGTGTTGTTTACTGGTATCATAACCTGAAGATCCTGCGAATAAACATGAATACATTAATAAAATTAGATATTAATTACCTGCTCGTATGTATGTTTTTGTTTTGTTTTTCTGGTACACGTATACTCGTAGATAAATATTTTCCATTCTCTTCTCAGGAGATATTTATCGGCAGCATATTCTGAGCTGTATTGACAGTAACATGAGAACATTAACCAAATTAAATACTAATTATCTGCTTGTGTACGGTTTGTTTTTAATTTTGATCTTCCACAAGACTTTGTTAGAAATCATTCCAAATGAAAGATTCAAAACTCAACCAAAGTAAACAGAAATTAATTAAAAATATTTATTAAATAATGTAAACAGAATAAAGCAACATAAAAATATTATAAATAATGTCTAAAAAATGTCTTCTTTAACAGGATTTTTTTTCTGCTCAACTAAAATGTTTTTACTTACATTATTTACATATTCAGGCTGTTATCTTCATCTCCATTGCCATATTCACAACGTTTCGGCCGTTGTACGCTCCGGCCTTTATATCTATGTCTCTCTATCTGTGTATATATTTGAGATGAGGTATTATGATTACTTGCATTATTTACATTATTTGGACTGTTATCCTCATCTTCACAGTGCACCAACTTTCCTTGCAGTAGATGCCATATTCGCAACGTTTCGGCCGTTGTACGCTCCGGCCTTTATATCTATGTCTCTCTATCTATCTATATCTCTGAGATGAGGTATTATGATTACTTGCATTATTTACATTGTCCAGATTGTTATTCTTATCTTCATTACTATATTCACAACGTTTCGGCTGTTGTATGCTTCTTCAGGTGATTGGAATTTCGGACCAAACCCTTTATTTCGTCCCCGACTAGTGAATAGACCCAAAAGAGTTGTGAGTTCAATACTAGGCAGGTCATTATTTAAAGAAATAAGAGGGTACAAATGAAAAGATTAACAATTAACAAATTTCAATGGAGCAGACGTTAAACATATGAAAGCGTTATTACCTCCGTTATCTTCCATTTCGGCTTTCTTTTTTCTTTCTCTCGCTGAAATCAAACAGCGTCTCTGATATGTCTTTTCTTTATTTATGAAGTATTGACAGGACATAACGTATGTGCTAACTAATCAACTCGGGAACAAGGAGAATTATGAAATATTTTATTTCTCTCTTATTTCAGAGTTTATCTTTGTGTGGACAACCCAACTCCAAATGCGTCTCCGATAACTCTTCCATCTCCAAGGTAAGAAAATCTCAACTTGACTACATGTTTTTTTTTTTAATTTCAGATTTTTCTTTATGTAAATTATTTTTGAATTTGTATTTTAACCTGACCATTAATATTTGCTTCAGTAACGCACAGATATAGATTACTGCTTTTCATTTGTATATACCGTATATTTTCGCGTAAAAATTGGGGGTCGTCTTATGCTACAATTCTAAAAAAGAAACCACAAATTCTGCGTGATGTTTGCCTCGGTGCGATGACCAAATAACGTACATGAAAAGTTCACATTATCAAATAATAATAAAAATAAGATTGACATTATCAACTAATAATAAAAGTAATAAAACCATTTCTAGTTTATATATTACTGGTATAATTTCATAATAAATTGCCTATTCGAAGAATTCCATATCAAGGAAATCAACTTTTATCCATGCAAGCTCAGCTGAGAAAATATAAACATCGAGTTATGATTGCGTTCACAGCAACCTTTATCATTCGCTAAACTTTCAATAAAAGTGGCATGTACTATTAACTTGCTGCTATGAGCGGTATTTTGGGATTGTCGATGAAGCATAAGTAAATGGCCATTCATACACCAGGCTGTTTGTAACTGTTTAAATATAGGAAAAAAAGAGGAAGAAGGAGAATCAGTATTCACAAGAGATCACGTGATGAAATATAAACAAAACAATGCTTTCCCTTTTAGGGGACGTGTGTAGGAAAAACATGATATAGAATCGGTTTTATTATTTCATTTATCTTGAAATTCTAAAGATACAGTAAATAACATTTCCAAAAACATCATCTTTATATAATTAATAAGCAGTCGTCATACTACGGGTATAGTATAAATTCATGAAAATTTGCTTTATTTTTTTTTTTACCTCGTCTTGTCTAAAGGTCGCCTTATCCGCAGAAATATGCGGTATTTAATTTTTCAGTTATTTTTTGTGCCTTGTAATTGTTTTCAACATACCCTTCAACTGTTAAACTGAATAGAATCAAGTAGCAGAACGCAACGAGAATTGAACCCACTTCTCTATCTTCGGAACTTTTCCTTTTTATATTAAGAGCAGTTTAACTAATTCAGTCTTATAAGCTTCATGAGGAGATAGAGTTGAAATCCTTCTTCTGATTTTTATTCCAAATTCTTTACTGATTATTTTATTGTATTAGAAGTAGTCTGAAGTTGGTTTCAATTTTATATACAGAATTCCCATTATAAATTTTTAATTCATTTTCTTTATTTTATTGCTTTGTTTACTCGGCCGTCAAAACCTTCGGTCGTTAAAGTAAAACTTAATGTGGGCATTTTAACTGTGATGGATGAGATGCAAGATGAAAGGTACACCAAACGTGTCCTAATTTGACTTAGACGTCTACCAAAATATTCTATGGTCAGGCTAGTTGAAAATTGCCAAAGCAACACAAGAATGTCTTCGTATTTGACATTCAGTTAATAAACAGATATTCTAGAAAACAAAAATATCTATAAGGCTGAGTTATAAATAATTTACCCTTTTGTTTATCAATGTCATTCTTAAAAAATAAAGTACAATTACATTTTATTCAATGATTCGTTTCAAAAAGTTTTACTCAGATGGACGCATAATCTGTTGAGTATGGCGGGTCGGGTAGAGAAAACTAACCGAATTGTAAATGTTTTTCTTGTGTTATTTTTATTGTATGCTCTTATTATGGAAGAAAATAATCTTTGTTCTATTGACGAACAGAGGAAGATTTTTGACCAAACCTCTATGCCCACGTTGCAGATGATGGATTTATAAAAGTGCATTTAGCGTTTCACTGCGCTTTAAAAACTCTAAATGAAGAATATCTTGAAGATCCCACCACAAAACATTACCTTCTATCTTCCATGGAGCTCAGCTTTTGGGGTAGTCTGTGGAGATTTATTCTTGATCTGAAGCCTCCCGCGTTGAACATTGTCGTAGATGACCCACTCATCCTCACCTGTTTTGATATATTTAAGGAACGTTTAGTTAGGATGCAGCATGCGCCATTACAATTTGTTCTTAGAAACTGAAATTACTCAACCTAGTATTTAAAGACTTAGCAAAATAGACAGACAGTTTTGCTCCTTTTTTTCAAATCGAATTTACCTCATGCAAGGCAGTAAATCCGCTAAGACACAAGGGGTTACTAAGTGTGAAAGAATTAGAAAACAGAAACATTATTAAGGCCGAAGAACAATAGAAGAGTAATCAGAAAGACAGTAGATAACGATTGACATTGCATTTAAATTTTTGAAGATCTAAGCTGACTGAAAAGCATGAAGCCGGGAGAGTTTTCCACAAGCAAGTAGTGTGAGAAAGGAAACCGTTAGCATAGAACATGCGGTTATATCTATCCAATTAATGATACCTTGTTGCCAGTCTAGTACCATAGCAAAAAGTTCATCCAAATAATTACCATAAAAGTATTTATAGAAAAGGCACAAGGAAGAAACTTTACGAAGGTGACTGAAGCCAAGACGCCAGGTCAGAACCAATAATATTGCAGATTCTTCTTTGAATTTTATCAAGAATCTCTAAATATATAGCAAGAGCATAGGACTATATGTGGCAGCAATATTCAAAGCATAGACGAATGGTAGACTTATGCAAGATATATTCTGGAGAGTAAAAATATTTAGCAAAACACAATGAATCAACTTTGTTAGAAGCAAACCTAGCAATGGATTTAATCTTTTCACTTCATGCCAGTCGAGAATATTAGACCGAGAAGGTGCAATGAGACACTCTTCTGGAGGTTATCATCAGCCAAGTTGATGGAAGGCAGAGAGGGGTCTCTCAGATGATTAATGGAGATTTGTTTTGGAGGTGTTCAAGTCAACAAGCCACCCTTTACCCCAGTTAACAACAGACTGTTTTCTAGATCAGACGCCAATTTGACCTAATCGAACTGATCAGGCTTACTATCGAGATGGTAGTAAATGGTTGAGTCTTCAGCATAGATTCCAAGTTGAAAGGTGATACTATCAGGAAGGTCATTGATGAAAATTAAGAACAAAGACCACGGTGGGACACCTGCTTTAGTTCAAAAGGATCTGGAATAATGGCCGTTCAGGATAAATTTCATTTTGCGATTTGATAAGAAAGACTGAAGTAAAAAAAAAAATTCGTCTCGAAATCCCATAACCTTTCAACGTGTGGAAAAGACCAGGATGCCGTTAGTTAACGGACGAAGGTTTTGACGGCCGAGTTAACAAATCAATAAAATAAAGAAAGTGAATTAAAAATTTATAATGGGAATTCTGTATAAAAAATTGAAACCATCTTCAGACTACTTCTAATACAATAAAACAATCAGTAAAGAATATGGAATAAAAATCAGAAGGATTTCAAATCTATCTCCCCATGAAGCTTATAGGACTGAATTAGTTAAACCGCTCTTAATATAAAAAGGAAGAGTTCCAAAGATAGAGAAGGGAGTTCAATTCTCGTTGCATTCTGCTACTTGATTATATTCAGTTTAACAGTTGAAAGGTATGTTGAAAACAATTATAAGGCACAAAAATAACTGAAAAATTAAAAACTTTATATTTCTGCGGATAAGGCGACCTTTAGGTAAAAAAAATATAGCAAATTCTCATGAATTTATACTATACATGGAGTATAAGACGACTGCTTATTGATTCGAACACTTTCGAGATGTCCAAAAAGTTTTGTTTTGTTTTTGGAGAATTTTCAGCTCGTCTCATCATTTTTCTGCACCTAATAATAATATTAATCAAGTCAAAATTATATCCAATGAAGCACAAAAAATGTCTAGGAGTAGAAAAATGATTTTTGACAGCAGTAATGGATAGCGGCTCGGATTGAGGAATTGGAGAACCGAGTTCAAATTCCAGTCGAATTTATTTATATGCTAATACCATTGGGAAAGATATGAATCCTCTTCTTCTGACCCCCCAAGCTATGGTCCCGGACAGACCGGGTTCTATAGCCTTGGATGGCAACTGGTGTACCTCGGAAAGAAATGGCAACATACTGTGGGAAAAAAGCTTCTTCGTCATGCATGTATCGAAAGATACATGATTGCCTAAGCGTGTATCACGCATGGCAAATAACTGACTGATATATCCTTGGCCATAACCGGTTGCTATCTTTCCAACGATTTCCTCGGAGACTATAAATTCAATCGTTGTGGCCAAATTAAGATTGCATTGAACAGATATTACATTTAGGAAACAGGCCTCCATCCTCAAAATTAATTAAAGATAGTAGTGAAATAATTTGAAATAAATGAGATTAGAAATAGTAAAAAAAAAAAGCGAAATAGATTGGTTTGGTTTGTTTTACGGCATTTCAACCTCAATGGATTATTTAATGCCGACAACTTTTTTTCCTGGTAATATTTTGTTTTGTCAAAAATCTATTTCTGGTAATATTTTTTTCCTCAAAAATGTATAGATGGTAATATTATTTTCAAAAACGTATTGCTGGTAATAGTTTTTTTGTCTTCAAAAATTTATTTGATAATAATTTTTTACAAAATATTTCTAGTATTAAAACCTATTTTTACACTTTTATAATGCTTTTTACCTCAGTTTCGGGGTTAATTATTTACCCATAGCTGGGTAACAGGTGCTACCACCCCGGGTCAGAGTGAACCTGGGAACACCAGCAATTAAGAGGTACTTCCACGCTCCTCAAAACCTCCTGATCAGAGGCTTTGCTACTGGACGCAGCGAAATACAAAAAATTTGTCGTCATCTACATAGATGGCATAAAGCGACCTATTCAAGGAAAGATAGTTTCGTTGACTTGGCGTAGAGAACGATAAGATAACATTTAAAAACAAAGAAAAAACTGCTGAAATGTTATGTAACATTTACCCCTTCCCGCTATATAGCAATGAATACTACACATTCTCGTCACATGATGAAAAGTCTCGAAATAATAGAAATGTGGTTCTACAGAAGGATGCTGAGAATACCATGGACAGAACATGTGAGCAACAAGGAAGTTTTAGAGACAATGGAAACAAAA